TGAGTCACGCTAATGGGCACTCTGAATCCCTGGATATCTGCCTGGGCATGAAGTAGAGATGGCCCCCTTGCACAAGGATCTCTGCACAGGAAGGAAGGGGCAAGCCAGGCTGCTAGCCCATGCGAGCAAGTGCTTTAAATACTTGGAGATCTGCTTATGTGTAGAATGGAGAAGGCCCTGCTACACCACAGTCTCAGGAAAGTAGGCTGGGACACCCAGCAATAACACACACAGACCAGTTCTAGTTCATCAAGCTGGCCCTGCCTGAAAGTCTCATTGCCCAGGAGAAACCACAGCCGTAGCAGCTCTCCTCCCGCCCAAGGCCTGTGACTGGGGAAAGCACAATTCCAGTGCCTACTGTTGAGATGTTTTCCACGGTTCTGTCTGTGGAGGACCCCACCCTGATCCAGAGCGGGTGCTCCAGTCTCTGTCCCAATACTAAAATGCCTGCATGGTCACTCTGCTGGGTTGCCAAAGAACAGCTGACTTTAGATGCACACAAATTAAAAATGGTGTCCTGTTCTCTGTCCTGGGGCTGGGAAAATGCCTGTGGCTTTTCCCAGTATCTGTCTCTGTCAGTGTTTCCAAGCCTCTCGCAAAGTTAGCTCCAGGATTTGAGAGAAACAAAGTGCTCTCTCTCAGCCTGGGTTGCTCAGATCCTCACTGGAAACGTGAGTCACAGAGGGAAGCTTCTACCTCTCATGTGCTGGGACTTCTTTCACTTTTCTCAGCTGGACAGCATTATGGTGGCTGTTTGCCAGCATTCTCCTCCTCCGGATCTGCAGTGTTCTTCACAATTCCAGTGGATCTCCATTTTCTTTCTTGAATTAAAGCTCACAGTATTTATCTTTATGTACTGCCTTGCTATTTCCAAGTGGCTGTGGCATGCTAAAAGCCTCAAATTGCCATCTTGAAAAAAAAATCTACCAACAGTGTTTGATATGAGTTGGCCAATACTCAACTGAAAATAAGAAACAAATTTATGTGCAAGGATAGTCTCTGAGGTTGAGCATTTTTGTTCAGTGATGAGGCATTTGAATTATCAACATACTTAATGCTATGGAAATCTATAGAACCAATTTCTTTAGGAAACAAATTCATATCTTAATAAAGAACATCCTTTTTATTGTTTAATTGCTGAAACAAGATGTCAGCCTATTACCCTAAGTAACCAGTTCAATCCTAGCCATTTACATCATCTAGTACCAAGTGGTATTTTTCAGAGAAATGAACAGGAAGAGGAAAATTCCTTGACTGGAAAAAAAAAATTGATCCATATAATCATTACAGAGCTGTATATTTATATAAGACTAACTGTGAGATGAATGAAGAAATCTCTGAGATTCACTGTTGAGTAGCTTAAAATTTCCAAGTCCTCTGCTAGACTTCAAAACTATTTAGTGTTGAACAAGAATAAGATACTATATCTCACAACTCCTATGTAAATATTTCCATTCCTACTTTCTTTCTGCTTTCATTTTCACTGTGATCTATAGCCTCTCAGCCTCCTATTTGTATTTTACAACATGCATAATTACAGATTTATTCTTTAATTATCTCATTTTCATACAATTTTTATATCTCTTGAATGATTTCTTGGAAACTTCTGCCTTTTTACTTTCCAGAGCAGCAGAGTATTTTTAGGCAATAATATTTTACCTTATCATGTCTTTCAACCATTAAAAGAAAAAGGGAAAGTAGTAAAATAAATAAACAAATACAGACAGTCACCAACTTACAATGGTTTCACTTAAGATTTTCAACGGCACGATGGTGGGAAAGAAATATTCATTGAGTAGAAACCATATTTCCATATTTCAAATACCCATGCTACTATTATGTTTTTCATTTTCAGTACAGTACTCAATAAATGACATAAAATATTCTACAGCTTTCTATAATATAGACTTTGTGTAAGATTATTCTGCCCAACTGTAGGCTAATGTTAGTGTTCTGAGCATGGTTAAGGTGGGCTAGGATAAGCTATGATGTTTGGTAGGTTAGGTTTATTAAACATCTCTTCAAGCCAGGTATAGGGGTGTGTGCCTAGAGACCCAGCTGCTCAGGAAGCTGAGGCAGGAGGATTGTTTGAGCTCGAAGAGTTTGAGAATATAGTGCACTACGAGCACACCTGAGAATAGCCACTGCACTCCAGCCTGGGCAACACGACAGGAGTCTACGTTAAAAACAAAAACAAAAACAAAAACAAAAAACAGCATCTTCACCTTAGAATAGTATCAACTTCTGATGGGTTTATTGGAACATAATCCTATCATAAGCTGAAGAGTATCTTTATATAGTAGAATATAGTAACATACTACAGACTTGCTTTCTCAAAACATAAAGATAAACCACACCAATGATCATTCATGGGAGAGGGACACCCAGACAGTGTCCTGCAAAATGAGAAATACTTGTAAGACATACTTCACATTCCTCACTGAGTCTCTTCCCCATGAAATAAAATCATTAAGAAATTTTTAGTAATATTTTAATTAAAATTTTGAGTATAGAAAGAAGGTTGTATAGCGTTACATTAAAAATAAAATAGATAAAATTAAAAAATAAAAAATGTTACATAAAAGTAAATAAAACATGTCAGGCTTATGTACTAAAGTATCAATAATTCGTTTAATTATGAATGGTCTACCAATTAAGAGACAGATAATAGAAGAGTGTATTTAAATGTATGACCCTTTTGTATATGTTTCTTGTATGCTGTGTACAAGAAACTCACTTGAAATTTACCAACACAGGTCAGGACAATTTAAAAGGATGAAAAAAGGTATATTGCGCAAGCATTAATGCAAGGAAAGCAAGAGTGCCTGTATGTATATCAGTTAAAGCAAAGAAAATTACCAGAAACAGAGAGATTATATAATGATCAAAGGTTTAATCCATGAAGAAGACAGCAATTTTAAAAGTGTGTTCACCAAAAAACAGAGCTTCAAAATATGTGATGAGAAAACTGCCAGAACTAAGGCGTGTGGGACTCGGACCTG